AGTTTTTTCACTGCTGCAGTCGCCACAGAATTTTGCATAGCTCATGTTTAGTCAACCTCACAGAATGGTGCAGTTGTTATTATTATGGGCTGATCTTTCCCCTACAAGGGCTGTGTTTTTCTCAGGAACAGCCTGTCCTGTCAGCTCCCTGGTCACGGTGTATATTTGATCAAACTGTATTTCAGAAGCACCCCTATCTGAGCTTTTGTGCAACATTATCTCTTTGTATGCCCTGGCAGGACAGTATACTGCAGTCACCTGGTGCGACAGAGCCCGAGTTGTGCCACTGAACCGAAGTTGTGGGTGTTCCAGGTGGGGCTGTTTATCTCAAAGATGTTGTGGCCCATTTATCCTGCAAAAACACGCAGCATGCAAACCCTCAGCTGTTGGTTCTCAGTACACTTTTCTGTTTACCAGGAGCCTAAAGCAAACCTGTGCTGACTCTCTCTACCTGTCTGTCCAGTCCTGTGCAGCTCCTCTGGGCTTTAGGGCTGCAGCTGCAGTTTGGTGCAGATATTGAGGTCGGTTTGCATGATCACAGGTCTGCCTGAAGGTCTGAGCAAACAATGAGAAACCTGAACAACAACACTGAACTAGAACGACAAATAATGGAGGTGTTGTTGTTAAATGATGTCTCTGTACAGATGTAGGCTCACTAACAAACTGTGACACTGAAAGGGACAAAGTTCATCCCAAGAATAACTATTTGTTTTGTTTTTTTAAACATGATGTCATTTCTTTGTTTGAGACACCAGCTTGAAGTTGCACTTGAAAAGCAGGTCATTAAAGATTTAATCGACTGCAGCCCAGATGTTGGTCTTCATAGCAGATGTTGAATCAGCAGCAGGTGTTTACAAACTTGGTATGATATAACATTAACATGACACACACACTTTAACACACACAAACACACATTTTTGATGGGTCAGTGCCCAGCTCACTGGACCTGCAGCCTTCGCTCTCGCCTCAGAGCACTGAACATTATTTAGACTCTACCTCTCTCTAGTGGTGAAGTGCAGGAACGACAGGTGACTGCTGCTTTTATTTTTTAGATCTGTGTAAAATCAGATAATTTAAAATAATCTCAAATTTAAAACAAAATAGACATGACTCTAAAAAACTTGGCAGAATTTTTAAGTTATTTTAAGTTATTACCTATGTCAGTCTTCATAATACTAGTCCACTTCATTGAGTTATTATCGCCCTCTAATGGCTGTTTGTGATATAGGATTTGAAACAGTTGCCCATCATACCTCAGACAGGGTGGCTAAAAATTACAAAGATGTTATTTCTTATTATGTGTCTGTAGTAACTACCCACTTGCTATTACTGTGTGCTAGTGACATTTTTACTTCACACTTTTGCATCAGATAACTACACAAGATAAGACTACATGTTTATGTAGCCGTTTCAGTCCAAAGTGGTTGAAATCAACGAAATGTCATGTATAATGTATTTAAAACCTCTAAAATATGAAACGCTGATTTGATTTTCTGGAATTATTTGGACTTCAGGGTTTTGCAACCTGAAAAGTTGACAAACAGGACTCAAGATTTCCACAAGGAACGTGACAGAGACAAAGTTTTTTGACCGGGGCACAAACTTTTGAAAAGGTGACGAGATAAGGTAAATCTAAGTGGATTACCCCAAAAAACATTGTTTTATCTCCACTAATCATGTCTACTTTATGTCTCAATATGAAATAAATTAAAAATTTTAACTTTGAAAGGTAACTCAACAGCGGAACAATTATTTAGCTTCCTTATATAAACCTCAACTATCCTTGTTGTATTAACATACCCAGGTGTTTTTTAATGTTGAATCAGCTTTGCCTTACAAATAAAAATGTCTAGAAAATTTGTTTACATCCAATCAATAATGTCTGATAACAGATGAATTGTTGAAGATAAAATATTGTGATGGACATTGTGTTTTTATACCTTAGTAGTCACAAAGGTTTCTGCCAGCTTTGACGTAACTGGGGTCTGAACTTCACCTGTGTCTCATAAGGCATTATGAGGCTCCAATTTTGTTCCTTTTTTGCACATCATGAGACTAGTTAACTCAAATAACTCAGAGGATACTTCACATTGTGTATAGTTAAAAGGTAGAGATTGGCCATCTGAATAAAATTGTGTTTGATTTGTATTTTGAAAAAGCTATTTTTTTTGTTAACTGTTTGGGATGCATAAACCAATCTTGATATAATTTGGTGCTAAATGCAAACATTAAGATTTTGAATCTAAAACTGAAGATATAAAGAGGAAAAAAAAGGAAATAAACCTAGAGATGTGGTTTTAATGCTCATAATATCCTGAATAAGAACCCTTAAACCATGGCTTATTTATGTTTACTTTGCTTGGAGGTTGTAGTTCGTTTCATTTATTGATGCCAACTCCTTGGTATGACAGGTGCAGCTAAGGATGCTGGTGTTTTACTCAATAGCAAAATTTATAGACCATTTGTTTGTGCAGCTACAGCTTTGATATCTGCTGTGTCCTGCTTTAAATATTTTCCAGCCTTTTTGTCCTTTAAATCCCACCGTGATAAAATGACTGTCTTTATTTTCTTTTCCATTATAGTCTAACAACCCAATCAGATTTATCTGGTAATCGTTAAAACTTAAACCAACAGACTAAACCCAGTAGATTTTACGAGCTAACTTTACAAGTATAGTAAGTACTTCAAATCACCCCCACTATTTCTGTATGTTATTTAATTTGTAAAAGTTAAAGAAGATGGTTTTTTTAATGGCTTTTACTATCATAGTTTCATTAAGCTCAGGATTCAGATGTATTATTCTATAAAAGGAGGACTTTTATTTTGAAGGAGTTATTTTCTTTGATGTAGGCATTTATTTTCTTTACCCATATGATTCATACTGGTGTTGTTGAATTCTATGTTATTCTGCCTCATACATAAAATACGGCCAATTTTTCTTTGTTATGAACTCATATTATGCATCTTCTATTGCTTGGAATATTCCTTGTCCAAACAGATGGGTTCCTCATAAATCATTTCTAATATTTATGCTCTTTCTGTGGTGTTGTGTAATATTTTTAAATGTGACATTTTTTATACACAATAAATCATTTATTGAAATATAAATCATCTGAATGTACATGTTGTAAAATAAAGAAACGTAGTACTAAATCATCATACTGGGTGTGATTACAGATACTGTACCGTAGGCAATACAAGCACTCACATCCACACGGCTTTAAAACATCAAGCAAGCTTTCTTTTTATCATCACTTTTTTTAGCTTCACTTCTTCTGCAAAATCTAAAACAAAGCAAAGTGCAACAGCTGAGTTCAGACAGAATCACAGTGGACAAAGAGGAAGAGAAGAGGAGGAGGTGGAGCCGGCAGTGGTACAGCTGGAACAGCAGCTGGAATAAACAGGATTACAAAGAGTCTACACAGTCTATAACTGATGTATAACATCAGATTAACATGAATCTATTGTCCCTTTAGTGTCTATGTATTCCTAGAACTTTCTAATTAACATGAGGACAGTAAGATAATAAAATGACTTTTTGTAAAAAAATTTAAAAAAAAGACATTGCCATGAGATATAATTCATATTTCTCCAAACTGCTTTTAATCTGAAGCTCTTTCCTTTTTCATATCTCTTTATGCTGCATTCTCATAATGTTGGAATAACTAGAGAAATAGGGCTCTGTATGCACAAAAAATGCACAAGTCTGCAGAGAAATGGCAGGCACAGGTAAATGATCAAATATGATACATATCTCTTAATACTTTGCAAATCTTTTTTTGGCTCAATTGTGATCTTTAGTATGGTTTGAAGTTGTAAACAGTAGGTGTCCAGATAGAGCTACCTAGAATGATAAAACAGCCTGTTTTATGGGTAACCTTCATGTTTTTTTCCAAGTTAGGACTTAAAGCTCATAAACACACCACGGTTGGAGGAAACACTCAGGAATGGAGCATCTAGAAATGCAGCATATGTTGATAAATTCTTGGTAAATTTGATAAAATCTGATTGTTTTTAATGCAACTTCTTCACCCACAAAGGTTATGCACTAGGTTATGTTCTGCAAATTACTTAACGCTTTTAGTTGTGACGACAAGTATGGGCTTCGTTTGGTCATGTAGGGGCAAAGAAGCTGAAAATGTGCTCATATAAAATACTGTTATCCCAATAATCCTTTTATAAAACAACTCTGGAACTATTTACAGTACAATCACTCTTCGTTTGGCAAATTCAACTTCAGTCTTAAACAGGGAAGACATTTGAAAACATCACTAAAGGTGAGACACTGCGGAGGACGCATGCAACGCTCACAACCATTCAAACAGCTATGCTCAACATTTACCTGGTATTCACAAATAATACATGTTTACACAATGCTGAAGTAAAAAAATAAATTTGATTACTGCTCATATGAAGCAAACATTATAAGGTCATACACATAAGGAATGCACACAGTCCAGATTTTGTGCTTATTGCTACTGATTGTACCAGCATCAGGTGCTTCTCTTGCAGCAGGAGACTTCAATGCTGCTGCTGTTGCTGCTTGTGTTGGATGGTTTAGACTCTGTAGTGGTTAAATACAGTATGCCGTATGAGTGATATCCTGCTGTGTTTGTGTAGAGCTGCTGACCGACATGTTGGATTCATCTCTTCTTGCTTATACTGCTGTTTAAGAATGCCCGATAGAGTAAAGCTTTACAAAAACAAAGACGATCTTTTCCTTCTGGTTGGTCCAACACAGGCTTGGTGGAGCGCAGAGTCCTTGTTGTCACGTTTTGTCCTCCAGCCCAGCAGGGGGCAGTGTCCAGGAGGTAAAGGGTGTACCATACTGTCACCACAGACTGGTCCACACAGTGAAGTGGTTTTCTTCTGAGGAGAGATCAAAAGGGTCAGGAGGCAGAGTCTTTGGTAGATTTACAAGTCCTAGTCCCTTGTTCCTCGTGTCCTTACGCCCCCCTAGTCATGTCTTTGCTGTGTGTGCTCTACAGGGGGGGCAGGTGTCACAGAAAGCTGTCCTCCACCAAGTCACTACAGTCCAGACACATCTCGTCCAGCAGCGTGATGTCCTCCAGAGTCTCACCCTCTCGCTTTGCAAAAGTAGAGCTGCTGGAGCCTGTCTCGATGGCGCTCTCCTCGGATGTCTGAGAGCTGCAGAGGACAAGAAAAACAGAGGTTAGTAAAATATGAATAATTCTGATGTTACTAATAACTTTGAGCCACTCTGAATCTCATCAAGTCGACCTTATTGGCTGCTCAACCTCAAAACCCATCAGTTTTTCAATAAAGGAACACTGTACCACAACCACAACACTCGCCTTATCTCTGAAGACCACCTGCTTTCACACTTCTCCTGAGGAGGAGAGAGTTCATTTGTCATGTGCGTAAGGTTGAATTGATGGTGAGATTCTTTTTCTGTCCTATCTTTGATGGCTTAAGGGGTTTACTTTTTGCTGAATTACCTTCAATTATCCCTGATTTTTTCTGGTGAGGTAATTATGAAAAAAGTGAATCGTGCTTTTCAAGAGGAACCTTTATGCAGCTGATTTAGACCCAAAGCCTGCAGGAATAAAAGGTAGAGACCAAGCTGTGAAAGGAGCAAGATATTCTAAAATGACTGTAGGGATAAAGTAAATTATTGGACCATAGCAACTGTCCATGAAGGTTATGCACTTAGTGTTAATGATATGTAAACAAAATTCAATGAATCCAACAATGCACCTTATAGCCTTTCAGGATTTTGGAGCTACAGCTATAGCCAGCACTTTCTCCCTGTGTTTTTATTGTGTGAACTCTGACCAGGAACCCCTAAAACAAGCCTACAATAATAGTTATGAATCAAAAGCCATATGTATTCTTAATGTTTTTCTTCCAACTCAAGAAACTAAAATTTCATGTCAACTCTGATGTTTAACCCTCTCTCCCAAATATGTGGTTGTTTGGCAGGAGGACGGTGGGTCAGTGGTAGCAGGACATCTCATTACTTTTATACATATATGCATTTAACGAATCCTACAACAGACAGATGTGAAGACATCTTTGCTGTCCTCATCTTGAGAATAATCTTGAGACTAATTTGACGTCTTTAGCCTTGGATGTTTTGATTCACCCTGTCATGTATCACTTGTCTGGGTTTGCACTGGTTGATAAAGTGCTGGCTAATTTAAAGTTAATATTTTTTAGCTGTTTGCATCCAAACATGCAGCCCAACCCTAAATACTGTGCATTATTGAACACAGTAAATGTCTGTGATATGAGCGTTAGCTGCACCTGTATGTAGGTGTCTGTTTGGACACATTCATAAAAAGTTAATTAGTTAGTTAGTTATTAGATGGTTGCTGATAGTTTATAGGATTACTCTGGTGCTTCTTTTCTCAAAGCCTGCATTTCTGTATAAACAACAAACTGAGTGCTGGCAGTGGATACATGAACCAGAATGCAATGCAAACAATATTTTCAGGCATGCTGTAACTTACTGAAAATTTCCCAGAATTTATAAGCCTTTGTTTACTCTGACTTTTTCAGCTCATACAGGAAAAGTCATCCTGAGCTGGTGTGATGACATTAATAATATGCCACCAGCTTTACCAGTGTAGTGATTTCCAGTTAAAAGAGCCAAAACATCGCAATAATAAAATAGTAGAAGACTGATATACTCTCATATACCCATCCTAACGTCTTATGCTGGTTTTGGAGGCTTTTTCTGATCAGTACATACCCGTGTCTGTTCCTCTTGCCATACTCTTCATCAGATATGGGGTCCAGGTCTGGGAGGGGGATGATGTAGCCACTGTCAGAGCTCAGGCGCTGCTCGTCGAAGCCGCTCTCTCTGTCTTTCAGCTTCCCCTGGTTCTTGTAGCTGATGCCAATGTAAGCGTCATCATTCTCCATGCAGACCCGGGTCACAGCGGGGTGGTCACTCTTCAGGAACTCATGGTTCACCCTCTCATAATGCTGCAGGCACACAGACATATTAGATAGTTGAAATATTACAGGAACAGTGTTTGTGTTTGCCTCACAGATGATGACAGGCATAGTTTCAGTGTTTGCACACACAGCTGCAGGACTGTGGTGTGACTGTGATCATGGTTTGTGTTGCCAGCTGGACGGTGCAATCCAAACTGAAAATCACACATGCACACAAACCAAACACACACACACACACACACACACACACACGTACACACACCCGAGGTGCTAAAACAAGAGTGGGTTCCTCTTCTGCCCCCAGCCTCTAAACCTCTGTAAAGAGGGCCGAGGTGAGGCTGTTTTGATGTGCCATGTGTGCTGTGAGGTTTAATGGGGTAATTAAGGTCGGGGCGGTGGAGGCGAGAACTCGGGCTGCGTCATTACCCAGACTGAGGCCGGCCGTGCTGACAGCCAGCTGCTGCTGCTGCACTCTAATCACCACTGGACTGAGTTTTACAGAAAGCCCTCAGACACACTCCTTAATGCACTCTCAGAGGAAGTGGAGGAGGCTTAAATGACCAGTTTGCTACTTTAAAAGTGCATCACAATTACTTCAACCTGTATTTTCAGTAGCAAAAAGTGCAGGATAAAGTATAAGAGAGGACATTTACTGTCCTCTGAAAACCAATTAGCATTCATTGAGTACAAGAAAATGGCCACTTTGTACAAAGATGCTCAAGACTGATCTAAACTTGTATTTTAATAAGTCCAACTGATGTAAGGCAACGCCACAAAAGCAAAATCTTTTTCACTTCATGCTCGATCATACCTGATTCATATTCCCTGGCTAATTCAGGCTTGTGATATCAGGTATCAAACCCCACATACTTATTTTCCTGCAAAACATGGCGTCTGACATGCTGATACATCTGCAGCAGCATTTTTTGTCTCGTTTGAAAAATTTTTTCTTCGTCTATTTTATTATGCGCTCTGTCTTTTCAAGCATGGTTGATGCTCCTGCAATGAACTTTTGGCTTTTTTTTGTTACTTTGGCGCCCCCTGTGGACATGCAAAGATCACTGACCTCATTGCGGATATCGCACATGATGTGACAGTAGTGTTTTCTGCTAGAAAAACTCCCTTTGCTGCCTCTTTATAGCCAAATGCATCAATCACTGTGCAAATTTTCAGTCTCAAAATCAAGAGCTGTTTCTTTAGTGTGCTTCTAATCATCTGGTTTGATATCTTCCATCTTGCAGTGGTTTCAGACATTAAGCATCAAAACACAAGCTGCTAGTCTTGTAGCTAATGGTCTCATTTGCTTTTGTGGGCCATGAAGAGACATCGGTATCAGTTTAAATTTTTTTTCAACCAGTAAAGTCTCTGCTCGGAGGCTTCTATGGTTCAATTTGCATTTTTTTTTCTTTTTTAAAGGGTGTTTGTTGTTTCTAAGATTTGCTTTGTCCTGCAGAATTTTGCAAAGGTACAGAGCTGGACAGTTGTTTGTCACAATACAGGTGGTCCAAGTGAAAATGAGACTTTGGGAATAAAAAAAAAAGCAGGTGTAAAATATCAAATAGATTGTGAATGTAATGTTAGACTCACCCTTCTGTAGCTGGAGGGAAGCAGAGAAGCTACAGTATCGCTCAGACCCAAGAAGGATGGCCTCTTCTCTGGTTCGCTGTTCCAGCACTTCATCATCATCTCATACCTAAAAAATTTTTAAAAAAGCAGCCATCAACACAGAGGACTGTGCCAGAACTGTGGAGTTTCTGCTTGCAATGCCACTGTGACTAATACTGGAGTCAAACTGTTCTGAGTTTACAAATCACATTACTTAGATAAACACTCAAAAAGCATCATGAGACTGATCACGTACACGTCTTCAGGAGCATGCTCTGGTTTGGACATCCTGTATCCACTCTTGATTTTGTTGTAGAAGCTTGAATCAACAACCATCCCAGGGTACGGGGTCCCACCTGCATACCAAAATGGATTCTCATGAGTTTTTCTTTTTTTTTTTTTATCACCATCTACAATTGAGAATTTCTATGATAGGTGTTTGCAGGTGCTCACCTAAAGAGAATATCTCCCACAGCAGGATACCATAGGACCAAACATCACTGAGAGAGGTGTACAGGTTGTCAAAAATACTCTCAGGCGCCATCCACTTCACTGGCAGGAAAGTCTGTGAGACACAGGGCAGGAACAGTGATGTTTTACTTGCCAAACTATCGTGGGAAAAAATAGAAGCTGTGATTCTCACTAAAATGGAGACTTACGCTTCCTTTGGAGACGTAGTTGTTGTCGTGCATGATGTCCCGAGCCAGTCCAAAGTCACAGATCTTCACGATTTTCCCTTGAGAGAGAAGGACGTTCCTGGCAGCAAGGTCCCGATGCACACACTGCAAAGACAGAGCGAGTAAAGTATAGCAGAGGCTCAGTGCATTAAGCTTTTTTCAATATTCAGTCCAAACCAACACATTTCACTCCCATGGCTTCAGATCCTGCATCTATTTCTGCTTGTATTTATCTCAGCCAACTTCATTTTAATGCCGTTTTATTTTACTTTATAAAGCGTTGGTCTTTGTGTAAACATGCCAGTTGGAGGGATGGCTGTGACCACTGGATATTTAGGGATAATAACTATGAAGCCTCTGGCTGCAGAGCGTCCCTGCCTGTTAATTCTAGCCTTGGCGTTGCTGCTCCTATATTCAGCCGCTGGCCCGTCTCCTGAGTGGGCTCAGCAGCCTTCACAGCACTGCTTATCACAAAACTGCTGATTTCAGTACTTCACTTTAGGCTGCACCACTGTTTCTACACAGGAAACCCTGCGAGTTCTGGGGCCAGTGTGGGAAGCAGGACCTGTGTGGTTGTGAAACCCAAACAGTACTTCATACGGAGCTGGGTAAACTTTGTAATTTGTTCACCAAAGAAAACATCCTACGAGCAATTTTCTGTCGGATTCTGAGAAGTTATCTCGTGGAATGAAAATGCATATTTTACCGGTTCAGTCAGGACACATTTAAAAAAGAAGGTTGTTTTTGTATGCAGTATGTTAAAATTGGTGGTATGGTTGAGAGTGTCCTGTCTTTACAGGAGTGCATGTGGAATACCAGGTGGGGAGTGCATGCATGAAAAGCCAAAGCAGGAAAAGCAGCAGCAAAGACCCCCAGGGGACAGAGCAGACATCAGTGACAATATATCTATGACATTGATAAAATCAGACCAGCTTAAAGATGGAGAGCTAGGATGGAGGTGGGTTACACAGCAATTTCTGGGAGGAAGAGGCTGCAGGCTAATGGTGTGGCCATTTGGGTGCAAGAGAATTGGTTGGGATGTCAGCTGGTAAGGCTGGCATTAAGATCAGCTGAGGTACTGTGAGCTGAGCTGACTTTGCAGCCTGCCTGAATGAACACTGTGCTGTAAGAAATGTCACAGAAGTCTAGAGAAAAATAGTCCTTTAGATGATTGGATACTATTGAATGGATACATTTCACCAATGGGGTACATCACAGCTCTGCTTACTGGCCCTGTTAAGTCCCAGCAAAGCAGTAGTGGAATGAATTAAACACATAGGTCAAGAAAACTCACATTTTTGGATGCCAGAAACTCCATCCCTTTGGCCACCTGGTAAGTAAAACTAAGCAGGTCAGTGGTGGACAGGCCCTCATTCATGTCGTCTGACAGCAGGTCATCCATCTCACCCTCTGGTTTTAAAAAACACAGAAAATATACACATGAGGACACGTTGATCATGTAAATATAGCATTGGCTGCTCAAACCTGGCTTTTACTAATGGCAGGGAGAAACCGGGCATTAAAATGTGTGTGCTGCAATTATCCTCTCCATGTAATGACAGGGTTGTACCAGCCCTGGACTCTGACGAGGGTGGACCCCACCAACACTGACTCAAAGACAGCATTAAAGCAGGCAAACACACACCAATAACTAACTCGGAGAGACAGTGAACTGTGTGAGTGTGTGCACCACTCGTACCTTTCTGAGAGGGGGGGTGATCGTAGTCGGACCTCTGGATGTCTGAGTACTTTGAGGCATTGCTCATCTCCAGCATGGGGACATACTGAGTGTTGTCAGCCTGCTTCATGTCCATGTAGTCCCCTTTGCTCTCAAAGGACAGGATCACATAACTGCAGAAACAAGACAGACAAAGACAGGTGTTGAAGCAAAGACACAATATGCTCATATCTTATTTAGTCAATTTATGCTTTTATTTTAAAAATCAATATCAAATCTTTTGTAAACAATTTGTGGTATCTTTTTATGCAATAAAATTGTTGATGTCTTGAAAAAAGATGTTAAATGCATGTGAAAATCTATTATCAAAGCCTTTAGGAGTGAGCTGAAACTCAAGAAGTTGAACATTTATTTTACTTTGTAAAACAAAAATTCATTCATTTTCCTCAATGCGGAAATCATAGCTTATAAAACTTTACCACTATGATGATTATATTGCTGCAAATGTGACATGATTTTAGTTTTGCAACCCCAGAGGAAAAAAAAAAAAAAATCCTAGAGAGCCAAAGTGTGTATAAAAACACAGAGGCACTTTGGAGCCTGTTTCATGTTCCCAGTTAAAGGCCAATAAATAGGCCCCTGATATGTCTCGTCAGGTGTATAAACATCTGAAAGGTATAATGTATCAGAGGTAGTAATAGAGACATTACAGAGTTTGGACAGATTTAAAGTGAGCTGGCAGAGTGATCAGGGCAGAACAGCACTGCATGTGTGTGTGTGAATGCAAAGTTTGAGATCAGTATCAAAGCAAAAAGGTGTGACGATGTTGTTGTTTTATTTGGGTGCTCAAAATATGAATCCAAATATGAAGAAAGCTACCTTTTTGTGTGCACAAGTCCACAAAACAATAGCTTCAAAAATCTAATTCAAATATCTAGGAAATGCCAGGGTGCCTCAGTGAAATAAGTTCAGCTTGAATGATGATTTTAGACGGCAAAACTGAAAAACAGTCCCAGACAACAGCCCTGGTAGCCCTGGTACTGCATCCTCTCCCTCCCTGTGGCTGTTTTTGAGGAAGATGTGGTCAAGACTAACATGGTCGCCAGGATTAAATCATGTTATGGTCAGTGCGAGGTGTGGTCGCTGTGAGTCATCCCTCACCACGGAGCAGCCTCAGAGGGAGAGAGAGGGTTGCTGTTTCAGCATGAACGTCTGAGCGGACAGAATTAACAGGTAGCTCACAGAGAATGAAATTAAACTGAAAGCTGAGACCACTTCAGAGGGAGATCTGATTTGGTGAAGATGCCAGACAATCTCCTCAGCCAGGGAGAAAATGGTGATAGAGTTACTGATTAGGGAGGGAGGGGAATGTGAGACAACTGCACAAATTGTTTTGTTATTGCAGTGATCCCGGCTGTTTGATCTGGGAGTGGCAGGAGGGAAATCTGGGAGATGCTCCTTTGTATTTAAGTGACTGAAATGCAAGAAAAAAACGTGAAAAATCTCAGAAACGCATTGTACCTCCTGCTGCTCTCGTCTGCGGGGTTGATCCCAAAGATATCCAGCTCTTTTTTACTCTTCTCCGGGTTCAGGCTGAGGAAGTTCTCTCGGTTCTTGTGCAGATAGTTGACCAGGTCCCCGTAGAAGCAGTACTCTGTGATTATGTAGATGGGGCCTGAGAAGAAACACAGCAGATAAAGTTGTGCATCGGCGTCAGTCTGCAGGCTAATCTTATCAGAGGGCTCGTAAAGGCTAAAAGCACAGCCAAGAGGGCAAGTCTGCGCTTTGCCATAAAAGGCCTGTTAAAATACCACACCCACCATGAGCAGAGACAGGGCTGTGGATCTTTTTCTGACTGTTAGCGATGAAAATGTGCACCACTGCCAATCTGAGTGAGTGTGTTTGGCAGGAAAACATTATTGTGGCTGTTTTTTTTATTCTTATTTTTAGGGAAAGTGGTGTCTACAAGCAAGAGAGAGGCACCGATGATTGAACTGAACTTATGACAGACTCAGAGTGTTTTCTTGTGTGTGTTTAACACTGACCTGACTTGGTGCACGCTCCCAAGAGGTTGACGATGTTGAGATGTGGTCCAAGATGAGTCATGATCTTCAGTTCTGACATCAGGGCCTGTTTCTCACTTGAGCGAGCTGTGGCTGCAAGGCAGTACAAAAAAACCTGTGAATATCAAACTATCAGACGTACCGATAAACCGTGCACCCAACCAAAACATGCTTCATCTGACTCTGTCGTGTCTCAAAGCATCTTTGTAGTTCCCGGTAAAACTTCACTGTCTTTATTTCTGTCAGAGGTCCAAAGTTTATACCTAAATGTCCTGTAATAGTCTGAAATAATTTGATTGTACTCAGTCAAACTCACGTTTCAGCATCTTCACTGCCACCTTCATGACAGGCTGAGAGCGGCTCAGTCCGTAAGCAGTGCCCTCCACCACCTTTCCAAAGGCCCCAGAGCCAAGAATACGACCTGAGACAGACAGACAGAGAGTCAGACGATCAATTATCAACACAAAGAAACACAAACACATCCACGCACTCTGCAGGCCTTTGCTTTCTCATCTGTGACTCCCTCAGAGGCTGATCATCCCCTTGATCACTGAGTCAAACCAAACTCCAGCACCAGATTATCTCAAAGCAGCCTCACTTCAAAGACAGAGTGAGACATCCTGAGCAGAAGATCTCTGCAGGGAGGCAGCGCAGACACAAGAGTATACAGCTTTATCTCGTTCATTATTACGGTCAGCTCACCGAGGACCAGTCTGTCACGAGGAAACTCCCATCTGGAGTCATAGGGAAGCTGCATGGGGTCCACATAGATGTACTCATGACCGTCTGGACTCACAGACTCTATGACCCTCCAGCGGATCTCGTAACGGGGTTTCTGGGTGATGAAAACACATGAGTGACAATTAAGGGAGTTGTCGGTGGACTTCTGGTTTAGAGTTACTTTGCAGAGCAAGTTTCTCTTAGCCACCGAAACGTTTTAGTTACATCTCTGTGGAGTTTTGCTTTATTAAAAAAACAGTAAATATGAAGAGACATGTATGGTGGCCCTGAAGGGTAAGTGCACAATCATTTTGAGACAGCAAGATGAAATTCAGTTAATGCATGTCACCAAGCTTATGACCATTCAGAATAGCCATCTTTGCATGGGTGAAAACAGTAAAAGAGAGGTTTTTGTTTTTTCTGCATGAAACTTATTTACAATTACTGTGCTGATCTAGCTTCTTCTGCATACCATAAATTACTGCTAGAATCATAAATATAATGTATATAAATGATGTATTTACAGCTGTAACAAGTTCTTTTGAGATGCTGCTTTGAGATTGCTGCACAACAAGCCTCTTCCTTACATTCACATTACCAGAAATCAATAAAAGTCATCCATCGAAGTTCACATGGGACAATGCAATACATGTGTGGTGGTTGCATTTAGGTAAGATTATTTAAAATATTTAGCGTGGACTAATTTTACTTGTCTTGGACTCATGTACTTATTTTTATTTCATTGTTTTTACTTCAATGTCTTATTGTCATAAGACTCTATCTTGATTTTGTCTTTTTTTATTTTTTAGTTTGGTCTTGTAAAAAAAATGTAAACACAATAAAAGTTGTAACATAAAAAAAAAAAGTCATCCATCAATGAAATCATGCATTTAAACATTAGATTTCACAAAGATTTTTGCTCCTTTGTTCTAGTAAACTATTAATATTATGCATATTAAATTCAGTTTTTCTCGAAAAATAAATACATTTCATAAAAAATAATAATAACTTGGGGAAAAATAGTCCTGAGTGTTCTCAACCAGAGAAATTTTGAGAAATTGCCTCTAGTTGAGAACACAAAGATATGAAAATTGAAATGATGAGGCCTTTATCTAGAAAGGCTATAAAGCCGTCATGCTCATGGCTATTTCATGATATGAAAGCTAATATCACATGGATAATGTGTGGTCAAAATTATACAAAGTAACTCGATCCAGGACAAAAATCTGGGCAAGTTTTTTTTGTAGCATTTAAAGGCACATAACCAAAACTTGACTTTTCCTGTAAAAGCACCTTTATGTTTCAGCCCAATCAAACTCAAGGCGTGATTCTAAGAGGCCGATTTGCTGATTTTGCACTTACACAAATATGCAAGAAATAAAGACAAGCATTGAGTGTGTGAACAATGTGAGAATGAAGGATGGCAGCAGTACCTGTTTCCAAATAACAACCAATACAATGAGTGAGATGATGACAATGACCAGCAGCACCAGCACAGCAGCAGCTACAGTCAGCTCAGGGTGAGGGCCTGTGCAGGGGGGAGAGCCAGTGTCGCACATGTTAGTTGAGAGCACAACGATCACATGATCAACATGTGTGTGTCTGTTTCATGACTAATGACATGCTGGAAGTAAAATATGCTCCATGTGTTGCATAAGAAATGTCTGAGAGACCAGAGACAGTCAAATCCATGGGGAGGCCAGATTACTGGAACCAAAAGGTATGCTGGGAAGATAACATGTGAGCAGTAGGGGTGGGGGAGGGGAAGGTGTAAGGGGAGTGGGTGAGGATGGGGGTGTGAAGCTCATCTGGAAGAACCAAATGTCCTAAAGATCTCTCGCTTCCTTGAATAGCTGTCAGAAGAAGAGCTCCTTCCTCCTGACAGCTGTCCTACTGTAAATGCATCATCTGACAGCTGCTGCAACACTGACAGATACAACATACAGTCGCTTTAAGAGCCTGCAACACTCTGAGTGTCAGGAATCCTGAGAGGAGTCTATGTGTGAAACGACAACACTCGATTGCATCTGAAAAGCTTCATGTTGGAGAGGAAACACTCTTGGACAAAACCTGTGTGTTTTCTTACCGTTGGACACCAGTTTGACCTCCCTGCTCACGGCCGCCATGTCATTCCTGGCCAGGCAGCGCACAGCCAGCGTATTCTCCAGGTGACCAAACATGACCTGACTCTCCAGGTTATCATCCTCGTCCATGTGCGAGTCCATGGTGATCTCTGTGGAGTTTGCGGGGAGGGGCACCCAGGAAGACGTGTCATTGGCACAACTACAGGGGAACAAAGAGAGAGACAGACATATGGCACTTATTCATTTCATCAAAGTTTACTGCAAGTTCAAGAAATCTTTGACCATATATGGGCATTTTCCTCAGATTTTATCCTCATCTTGAAAAGGCCAAGTGTTTTCAGAGACAGGCAAACTTAATCTGATTCATTAATGATGAGAGATATTTGTCTCATTAATAAAACTGTCCTCCTGGGAAAAGCAAGATAGCTTTGTCATGACATAACACCTTTTTAAGAGTGTTTCCATTTTGCTTCTACTCACCCCATATAACCAAAGTGGCAACAATTATTTTAGTTTTCAAAATTTTTTCCCCATAAAAGACTCGATTGGCCAACAAGGCTGGACAATTTTCAATAGCTGACATGATCTTAATTAGTAGAAACGTGCGGTAAATACCACAAATAAACCACTTGCAAATGCAGTGGTCGAAAATTGCTACAAAGCCAAAATAATAACAGCCTGAACCGCAAAAGTGCTGCAAACACACAAATGACACAAAGCCAAAACACACATGGACAGAAAGCAGCCACAAGTAAGTGCAGGGGCGCTGACTGACAAAGAAGACCAGACACCTGCTAAGACAGTTATCAATCAGTATATCGTTTTTTATGTCTCTGGCCTCATAGCTAATTTAAATAACACACTAGGACATTTTTCATACAGCCCTTAATATGCGACCATACATTTCATCGACCCTGTGTAGCAGTGCGGCAAGAAGAACTTGACAGGCAGAAACCTCGAGCAGAAGCAGACTTGTCGGAGTGCTGCCGTCTGCCTCAAGCTGTGTTGGGTTTAAATATTTGTTGCAAGGGTTTCCATGCGTTTTTCTAAGAGCAGTGTCAAACAATGTTGTTTGCATTTCTGGACTGCTGACTGCAACAGCCAATCTCTTGACACCATCAGAAACTGATTATTGGACCATGTGTAAAAGGATGTGATATGATCAAAGCTGAAAGTAGGAGCAGTTTACATGAATAGTAACAGCTGGGCAGAGTGGACTCACTTTTTGATATTCTTGCAGACGAACCACTCCACCACAGGAGTGGGATGTCCTCTGGTTATACACACCACAGACTGTCCTGAGGCGGAGCCGTGGTGGATGTCCATCAGGTCCACAATGACTGCAGGCACTGAGACGCAGTGAAGGAAAGTGTGTAAACATGTTAGAAACAGACGGTCCATTAGTAAAGCTGCAGGGAAATAAAGGTAATGAAGCACCTGGAGCATTCTTCTCACTGACCTTTGACCTCCAGCACCAACCCGACACTGCTTCTTTGGTCTCCGTTCTCCACTTGCATGGTGTAGTTCCCCGTGTCCTCCTCCTTGGCTCGGATGAGGGTGAGAACGCTCATGTAGCTGCACAAACAGACGCAGAAGTTAACAGCTGTAATAACAGGTCAGCGTTGGCCTTTAGTTTGTCATTAGCTCTGCAGACTCACCTGGTCTCACTAAGCTGCCGCCGGCTGGTGGAGATCTCTGCTGTCACGTCGCTGAGCGGGACACCGTCTTTAAGCCAGGTGATGTGGGCACTAGGGAAGGACTTGATCAGAGCCTTAAACTCTCGAACCTCGTCCAGCTCTGCAGACTCATACTCTTTAAACTCTGGGTGGATGGACAGGAACTCACCAGCTGGTAGAAGAGAAGAGAAATATCATCAATCATGTATCACCACAAAAGAAGAAATGGACTAAAGAGATTAGATCAAACCACAGCTTTCTTACCATAAACTTGAATAGCAAGCTGCTTGGTCTGGCTCTCATTGCTGATGATATCTGTAATGGAGCAGGAGTAGATGCCGCTGTCTTTGGTTGAAGCCTGAGGGATAGTGAGCGTGTAAAGGATCTCCTGGTCCCTCTTGTTCTCATGCACTGTTTTGACAGCACGATTAGCCTGCAAACAAGAAGGATTTTTAAGCTTAAACTTCCCTGAAACTCATCTTGAATTTTGGGCCATATTCTCAGCACACAAGTCGACTTGCCACCTCACCAGTTTTCCAGGGTATTTCCAGTGGTCTTCAAGGATCTCAGACCCCCGAGCGATACAGGTGACAGTGAGTGTGTCCCCCACAAGCAGGGCAGTTCGTTTGGCTGTAAGCTCAACATGAAGCGCAGCACCACCTAAGAAACAACAGATTATGAAGCTCTCAAGCACGCATTAAGGCCCTCAAGGACCTTTCACATGAGCATCAGATGATTTCATACAGTTTTGCAATCAAATGCTGATAAATTATGTTGATATAAAGTCAAAATCTAAAACCTTGTTTTATATTTTGACATTTCCCTCCTGGAACAAACTTAAACCATCTGTAACCTCGTGTTTTTGACTGTATTTGCTGTTGTGTTGGCTTTATTCTTCTGTGTGAAGCTGACTACCTGTTGAACTGTTTTTTCTTTCATGCATTTGCAGATCCTGATCCCATTTTCACCAGCCATAATGCAAGAAAACATGTGATTTCTTTGTGCATTGGGTACTAAGTTCATTCTACATGTAGTTCCTGAAACTGAACAAACTGTGCTGTCTTTACCGAGAGAAACACCAAGGAAAACATGAAGCTGATGTGTCAGAGTTCACAGGTTAAGCACCGTCTTTTAAAGTAACTGTACAAGCAGCTCCTCACACAGATTTGCACGTGAGCACACACCTGTCCAGCCGTGAACGATGTACTCCCCGCTGTAGTAAATCTCTCCGTTTATGAGGGCCTTACAGACGTAGGTTCCAGCTGTGAACACTCCCAGAGCGCCCCTCTTGCTGTCATAAACACTGGGCACAGGCTCCATGGTGTCAACGTTAATCAGGGTCACGTTAGCGCTGGGATCAGAGACTCGACACTGGATCTCCATCTCCTCATGGTCGGAGAGGACGTGGTTTCCAAAAGGCACAGGTGACGGCACAAAGGGAACATCAGGGTCTGAAAAGGGTTAAAATAAGTCCCTTAGACCAAAATATAAAGTCAAAAACAAAAACACAAGACTTAATGCTACTTTTTCTCCTGTACCTGGTACGTAGATGTAGATGCTGCTGTCCTCTCCGTCATCTGTGTCGTTCCTGCTGTAGAAGCAGATGTAGTAGCCCGTGTGCTCTGCAGTGGCACTGTCCACAGTGATGGTGGTGACGAACAGGCCGCTGTTGTCCTCCTGTGTTTTCTCAGGGACATCCAGTGGGGTCTCCCATGCCAGCTTAGCCTCCCCTCTACAGGTCAGGGTGAAGGGGGTGTGGAGGGGCACCACCAGCTCCTCCACTTGAGGCAACAAGACGGGGGCAGAGGATGGAGGGAACATCACTGAGGTTGGGGCTGAAAGAGAAGCATAGACAGAGGTAAATAATAGATCTACAAATCCATCATCAATCCATCCATGTATTCTCCATCCATCCATCCATCCATCCATCCATGTATTCTCCATCCATCCATCCATCCCTCCATTTAGCCTACATCCATTAATCCATCCAATAATTTTTGGTCTATCTTTCTATTTGTCCATCCATAAATCAATCCTACATTCAGTCATTTCATTCATTCATCATACAGTCATTCACCCATTCTTGCATCCATCCATCAATCCATCATGAATTAATCCAGACCTCATCCATTCATTCCCCATTAATCCATCCATACTCAGCCATTTATGAACCCATCCATGCTACTATCATCCGTTCATCCACCTCTTCTATTCCATCAATCCATCATCCTACACACATCCACCCATCCAACATACATCGATCATCTATCCTACATAGATCCCACACCCATCCATCCACCCATCCACCCATCCTTAAGTTATGCATTTATTCTTCCCATCATCCATCCATCTATCCATCCATCTATCCATTCATCCATCCATCCATCCATCTACTCAACATCTATCATCCAATCATTCATTGTACACATCTATCCATCCATCCATCAATCTTACAACTAGCCATCCTTCTATCCACCCTACACTTTACTTGCATTCATCTGACATCCATCCTTACTTTTCATTCATCTATTCATCCATTCATCTGTGAGTTTTACCTTTCACCCTGAGGTTAAAGGAGAACTGAGCAGTGCGAGAGCCGCTGATGGCTGTGATCGTGTAATTCCCGTCATCTTTAACCAGTGGCTGTCGTAATGTCAGAATACTCTGATACCTGAGAGAAGAAAAGTCACAAATACTTCTTTAAAATTGTTTTTCTCATCTGAAGTCCTGGAGAAAGTGAAAGCTGCAGACATGCTTAGTTAACTGTAAAAGAAGCTATGAACCACCTTATAACACAAAAACTGCACTTTTAAGAGTTTCAATGATGTGTGTGTGTGTGTGTGTGTGTGTGTGTGTGTGTGTGTGTGTGTGTGTGTGTGTGTGTGTGTGTGTGTGTGTGTGCCTTTGACACCATTGATCACACATCCTCTTTTCCCCGCTGGGAACTTAGTATGGAGTTACGGCTGCAATACTCAGGTGGTTTTAATCCTACCTGACAACTAGAAGTTTCTCTGTCTATTCCAAACGGCCCCTCTTACTTGTGGTGTCCCTCAAGGGTCTGTTTTAAACCCAACCCTTTTTTCTCAATACATAATACTCCAGGGTCTTTTTTTCCCAGAAACCTGATGTCTCATTTCACTGCTTTGTTGATGACTTGCTCATATGTTTGCCTTCAGAATGAAAAAATGGGGGTTAGCTGTAGCTCTTGTTGAATTCAGTGAAAGACATCAGAGTTAAATTTTCTGGACAGGAATGGAAAAAAAATGCCATCATGTTTGGACATGCTGGACAGTTGTATGGGAACCCTTTCAGCCCTCTTACTGCTGGTATGTCTGTTTCTGTAAAGACCCCTGTTAAGTTTATTTCAACAGCGTTGTCTTAAATTTGATGGACACATTTCCTCTGTTGTCAAGCCCTGATTCTTCCAGTTGAGACTGCCAAGGTAAAAGCTCATCTCCCAAGAGGGTGGTAAATGCTTTTATTACATCTCATCTCAGTTATTGTAATTCTTTGCAGGCTTAGAGTGGTCATCTATTCAGGAGTGAAACTGAAAACCTTCACAAATCACATTTTTATTCTTACCGGTTTCCTTCAATGTGGCTGGTTTTGACGAGGATATAGTAGTTCTCTGGTATGGGTTTACCATCTTTCAGCCACATCACTTTGGGGGCCGGGTAGCCAGTAATGAGGATTGTGAACTCCGTCTCCTCCAAAAGGCTGACAAACTCTGTCGCCAAAATCCCACTATGGTCCAGAGCCACAAAGGAGTTGTCCTCTAATGAGAGAAAGAAATGAATGAGTAGGTGTTTGTGGATGAAACAAGGTGAATGTGAGGATTGAGATGAATGTGGAGTAACAGAGGAACTGAGGTGAAATGAAGGCCTGACACACATCTGCAGAATCCATCCCATAAAACACAGCAGCTGATGTTGAAAGCAGAGGTGAAGCTTTATGGTCAGATGGTGGAAAATGACACAGAAAGCACTTCAGTGCACATAATGAATATGAAAGCAGGACTGATTTACATAAATCAGTGCAGCGTGGAGTTTGATTGCTTCTGTGACACCATCCTATCATTACACAGACACCAATAATAAGATGCTCTTCTGTTTCAGTTTGTATCTGTAATTTTGCAAATATAAATCAACCCCCTAAGGCAGTGGTTCTCAAGTCCAGTCCTCGAGGCCCACTGTCCTGCATGTTTTGGATGTTTCCCTGCTCCAACACACCTGATTCAAATGATCAGCTCGTTAGTAAGCCATTACAGAGCTTGATAACGAGCTGATCATTTGAATCAGGTGTGTTGGAGCAGGGAAACATCCAAAACATGCAGGACAGTGGGCCTCGAGGACTGGACTTGAGAACCACTGCCCTAAGGGATGAAATATTTACCTTTTTTGGCAAGTTTTATTTAAAATCCCTGAAACTTTAGCAGAATTGACCAACATTTGTGTCAGACTTTTGTGACTGTCTTGGTTTGTCTGTCTCTAAAAGAGCAGCACAATGAGTTTCCAAATGAGATGAACATGCTGAAAAACTTTCTGTTTATTGGATTAAATTGGTCTTTAAGGAGGTTTCCCCTTAGACATAAGATTTGAAGTTAAAATAAACATATGTTGCATTATATTTCATCACAATGCTCAGAATAATAGAAAAATACTTGCAATTGTATTGTGACAAAGGATCACATTAAGATGGTATCATTTGGTCTCTTGTGGTTCAAACCTCTATAATGTGAACAAGCGTGCACTTCTTATCATTATAGTAATTCATACAAAGAAATACAGCGAGCATTTGAGTAGATTAAGACTTACCAAAGACGGTGACAGCCACGCTGCCGACTCTGACCTCTCCGTTGAACTCATTTGTGACAGAGCACTCGTAGGTGCCGGTGTCCTGAGAAGTGGCTTTTGAGACGCTGAGGGTGTAGATGACCCGGTCAGGAAGAACATGTTTTAGCTGGACTGCATCCACAGCCTACAAGAAGAAGAGAAGAGCAATGAGGGTTTGAGATTACAGGGGTTAGAAAAAAGAGGAGAATGATGTTTGTGTTTTTCTGTTTCGCAGGTACGACATGGAGGAATCTGATCGTGGCCCTGCTGAAGTCTAATGGTTAAAACACTTGCTGGACCCACAGGAGATAAATCAGGACCACAGAGCCTTTTAAAAGTCTGTAATTGCGACTGAGACCTAAACCAGGAGTTAAGACTTCCCTGAGTGTCCCTGGAAAAAAGTTTAGTGGAATCCCGTGCAGAAAAACAGACAACATGCTGCATAGATTAAGAGCTGAAAATCAATGTCAACAAATGTTAAATGTTCTGATCCCTGCAGCTAACACTTCAAAAGCCTTTAATGTTTATTTGGCTGTCCTCTGCAGACAGCATCTGTCCTACATGTCTGAGGTCACCTAGGTCAAAGGATTTACCATCCCTCTTTCTTCATCGTTTGAACTGCCTGCTCCCTGCAGCCATTTGTCCTGAACTTTAACTGCAGCAGGAGCAGTCTGGCAGTTTGGCTCCCATCCTTGTAATGAAGACACAACATCCAGTCCTTCTCCCCCTAACACATACTTTGTAACCACTAAGGGCCGTCTTTAGAGCTATATTCCACTTGCTGCTGCTGGGTCCAAAACCATTACTTGCTAATTTAAGGCTCATTGCTGCTGTGGAGGAAATGACATGGAAATATGACATGGAGGGTGAAGGAAAGAGGGAAAAGAGTGGATTATGGATGAAACCAGAGAGGACACTAAATTTAAATAAAAAAAAGATTTTCTTCTTGCCTGTTTTTTTGGATGGAGCCACTGCTGCTTGAAAGCAGGCCCAGCCGGGGCGACACATGTGATGTTGAACGGTTGTGAAGCTCTCAGCGTCTCCTCACTGGTTTTTACCTCTACGGAAAAGTCCTCTATCTCTGCAGGGGCTGTGCGGACCACCAGAGAGAAGATATCAGCACCATCATCTCACAGGTCCGCAGACAGTGACAGTATGATTACAATGAGCTCATCATCTGTCACAGAGTGGTGGCTCAAAAATGATGTCAGTACTCACACACATATGTTAACCCCCCACACCCCCCCACGATAATGACATAATGTCATGGCTGTCATACAGTGAAGTCAGCCTGCAGCCCTCTCAGTGTAAACACACTCTGAAAGTGTTTCCAGCTGTTCATTTTTTAACATTTAATCTTCTTGATAACCTGGAAAAAAAAACCAAATGGATCTATATCAACCTTAAAGGTTTAAAATCTGAGGTCATCACAAATTATAAACCCAGTCAATCCCTCACAGCTTGGCTCACAGGTCTAAAATTTTACAAAACTTTAGTCAATATGTATACAGAGATTTGCTTTAATTTTCTGAGTTGTCTCTTAAAGTTTTGCCTCATTAGTCCTGAGCCTGTAGTCTCCTGCTGAGAGCGCCTCCTCTCAGTAACATGAACATATTTTCACAAGCTAAAGCAAGTTGCCTCTCAAAAAAAGTCTATTCACATGCATTTTGGTCTTACAGAACCTCTGTTACAATGTCTTACATAAAAGATGATTATATAAAACAGGGCATTGTAACATAAAAGGGTCGAGTTTGCTTTTCTTGGCTCATCCCTAGTGGAAAGCTCAGCATCTTCCTGACATTTTGGCCCACAGATCTGAAATTTTATACAACTTAAGTTGACATGTCTGTAAAGGTTTGCTGTTCTTCTAATAGGTGTCACATGGAGTTTTGCCTTGTTAGTGTAACTGAAAGATCCCTGAGTGGACAGCTGAATCACATTATTTCTTACTGCAGCTGAAAACAAGCTTCCTTTAAAATCAATCACTTTAGTCTTCTGTTACAACCTCGGTTATATATTTCTGTCAAATGTGTGTTTTAGTAACAGTGAAGATCTAAATGAATTAACATCCAAAGAAAACACAATTTCTCTTAAATTTCCAATATATCATGGTCTCTGAGTGTATTGCCATCCTGACTTACCCTTCATCTCCACGGTGTAAACAGCACTCCTGATGGTCTCTCCGTTCACCACAGTTTCACACTGGTACTGTCCCGGTAACAAACTCCCAAAGAAGCCCATCTTGCTGTCATAGAAGGCTTGCATCTCGTCTCCACTGGAGACGCTCCTCAGGATGACGTGAGAGTTTGGGTCAGATACACGGCAGGAGATGAGGACTCCAGCGTCATCCATGGGGACGACCAGGTTCTCCAGCATCTCAGGGACAAACGGAACTTGCAGATCTGGGGGAACAAAAGGACTGGAATCAACCTTTCTCACTCACTTCACCAATTTTTAATGGCTTTTATAAACTGGTTTGAAATAATGCTGAGTCACTGAGTTGTTTCTCTTCTTTGTGATCCTCTACGTTGCCTTGTTTTGGAGTCAATCGGTTCATATGATGCTTGTTTGTTAAATATTTGTGGGTTTCAGCTCCATTTTTGGAGGATTTGCATTTTTTCTTTGTGATTTTTCACATTAAGAGTCTTTGTGGAGAGGAGGGACTGTGGAACTAAATAACCATGTGATGTGTGATGTTTTCTGTTAGCCCATCTTCTATTTTTTCGATTGCAAAAACTCAAAACTGAGCCAGTGTTTTGTGTTTTTTTATTTCTAGTGAAAATTTATTATTCAATTTAATTTAGGTCTTATTTCAAAATTTCCAAGCCAAAAATGAGACTTAAATTGCTTATCTGTCCAAAACCTTCCAATCCGATAAGAAAAAAATGTTCTTACTGAGTTTCTTGACACAAAAATAATGTAATAATTCAAGAAATTCAATGATAACATTTTTCTTCAAACACTTTGGGGCTTATTTTTGACTTTTGATACCTTAAAATAAAACTTAATCTAAAATTATCAGGTGACTGTGGCTTATTTTGGGTGAATTATGCCTTTTTTTTTAATAAGCCATAAGCATTTGCTAATTTTTGAGTTTCTGTGGCGTACTCATGGCTGCAGTATGGAAACCATCCCACTACGGAGATTGATGAAAGAGTCTCCACGGTATCTTTGCAGCTCATACCAAGTCTTGTTTAGAGCTTCCATGCAAGTTTCTGTAGATGATGTGAATAAACGTTGATACGAAAGATGTTGACATGTTGCACTCCTTTCTTGTGCTGCAATATTTGAATCTCCCTCCCCTAAAGTTTGGAGTATTTGCATGATTGACATTAGATAGATTAAAAACAGTCCTCACATTAAAGTAAATGAGATTAAATTAATTGCATGTGATTTAGTTATAAAATGTAGGCCTTGGGTTTGGTAAATGATGATGCTGAGATTTAAAATGAACTCACTGACCTAACATATTTCTGTCTCTGACTTGACAGCACATCAGCAGTATTTGATACAAGGTTTGAGATGAGTCCTCTTCGCCCTTGTTTTTACTTTGTGTAAATCAAATCCAAGTTTTCTGAAAGGCTGTAACTAACCCTGACTTCAATTTCCTTACAGAGTACCGCTCTATGATTGCTGACAAAAGGACAAACATCTTCACCTGGGACAAAGACGTATATTCCTGCCTCATTGTCTTCAGGTTCCCCCTCCTGGCTCTCGTAGGCACACATGTAGTATCCAGTGTTTTCCACTGTTGCGTTGTCGATGAAGAGTGTGGCTGTGTAGTAACCCGGCAACACAAAGGTGTTTTTGGGAAGAGGTTCAGCCCAAAGTACGACTCTCTTCCCCGTACAGCTGATGTTGAAGACAGAGTTTGGCTGCAGGATGAACTCGTCTTGGTTGGACACGATGGTCGGGGGCATCAGTCCACAGGTCACTGAAAGAAAGTTTTTAACATTACAGGAGCTGACTTCAAGTCTTAAAAATAGAAATGGTTCAAGATTTCCTTTGCAAAAATACCTGAAACCAGACCCATTAGAACAGCCCAAATCACCACATACACCTTTACCCCATCCATGGTGATGGATGCTCTGCCCTGTAAGACAGAAAGTGAGTTTTTAGTCAACAAGCACAGCAAAAACTTTAACTTTTTTTGTTCCAGATAAGTTTTAAAAACTACTGTCTCTGCTTTAAGTCCAGTTTGATAACAAAGATATCTGATCAATAAATCCATTCTCTATTGGATTTTTTTTATCTCCTGTCAAGCCTAGCCTGCAGTTTGTGCAGACTAATTGACTCCTCTTGCTTAAATATACTCAAGAGATTTACAGAGAGGCATGTGGAACCTGAACGCAACACGAGTGGTTCTCTACATCACTTACGCACTGAAAACAGGTAAATTAACCACAAGATGACATGGTGTATTCAGAGTAAATGACAGGGCTGTAAATTCAAAAGTGTTGTATCCACATAACGTGAGTATGAAGGCTGTCGGTAGAGGGCGACAGAGTCCGCACTTTGAGCCAACCGAAACCTCTGGAGATCTCATTTCATCCCCAGTTTGAACACCCGCCTTTTCAAAGTTTCCTTTTGTCTGATTGAAGAAAATTTTGCCTTTTCCGACAGATTTAATGAAAATGGTGGTTGAAAGGGATGTAAAGAAAAAAGAAAAATAGACATTTCTCTTGCTCAAGTCAAACAAATTATGATCGGAAAACGTGTGAAGTATACGCCTAATTAAGACGTTTCCAACTTTAGTCCAAACTCTCCACAGCTCATCCCACAAATCCTGTCCGGTTTAGGTTTGTCACGGAGCCTTTGCAGACCCCCGGAGGTCTCTGCATCAGAGTTTTATCAGGGGCCACACAGTCTGAGTGGCGCTCGATGAAAGAAATGCTTTTTTTCTCTCCAAGCAATCGTTCCGTCGAAAATCATCTCCTCTTGAACAGTATTCAACTTTAAAACTCTCTTTTCTACTGTATCAGACCTTTTTATGTTTGTAGTGTGCTTTGAGTATTTTAAAGCCTATCTCCCTATCGTAGTTTCCCCGAACAATAAAAACTTTTGGCCCCTGCTCCGCTTCCTGTGGCTCATCCGAGACGACCCAAATGATCTCTGGGCAACCTGGGTTTGTTTAACTCTATAATTAGAGCACTCACTCCACGCAAAACTACATATAAGCGTGGGAACCATTTGACAAAATGCATAATCTGTATTGACGTGTTTGTGCACACGCCTTGTCTTGAACACATACAATAAAAGATTTCTGTCTCATTTGGCCCGGATCCTGCAGCCGCTGCGCGTAAATCTGAACGAGTCAGGGGCGCACTCGATCTGCTGCATGTCCGACTCCTCTCGCACCGAAAGACTCGACAAATGTGCGAGATAACAAATGCATCATCGCTCTGCAGGGCTGCAAACATTTGAGCAACAGCTGATAAGGCTTGTCTTAACTTTCAGCCCTGCACGGATGGAAGAAGAAATAAAAAAGTTGTAATCCATAAAAAAGTAATTGAAAAGAAACGTTTGATCGGCAGAAAAGTTTCTGCACATTTGAAAACTTCATTATTCTTTTTTTTTCCACAGTAAGTATTCCTGTCCAGATCCCCCCGGTGACACAGCGGGGTTAGTGGTTAATGAAGAATGCGTCGTGGCTCCAAAACACTCAGCTCTTCTTTTCTCCGCTGAATCCATCACACGGACTCTCATTCCAGCGCCTCCGGTGCAGATTTTCCATTTTAATTCCACACATTCCGAGACCAGACGAGAAAACAATGTGAAGTCCAATTTCCAATGTGTTTCCCATTAAATGCCAGTCAGCGTCCCACAGTGGTGCCTTCAGTCTTCGGGGTGACACCTCCAGCTGTGAGGCCGAACCCGAGCGCTTTTATCCAGCAGAGTCAGCGGCATCTCTCCTCGCGGCGTCCAGCGGTGTCACCATATGGTGCACCAGGAGTCGAAATCTCATCTCAAAAATTTGATGCACTGCTTCGTAAAATAGTTGCAAACACGTTGTCGCGCAACGAGATTTTTTTTTCCACTCCCTTACAAGTGGGTTAAACTTTTTTGGGAAACTTTTCTGGCGCCTACGTTCAAACTAAAACTACATCAAGTAATTAAGCTTGACTAAACTCCAATAGAGGAGAATTTGTCTTAATTTCTCTGCTGTTAATTGAATAAAAATGGCTAAAACTTTCCAAAAAAACTAACAAAACGAGTTTCTTTTGGATTCCAACAACCGTTCAATTACCTTTTCCTAATCCCCTCTTTATATTCCTTTGGTGTAAGTATATCCACAGTGAATTGTTGGCTCCAAAAGGCGCAGTGAGGGTGCTTTGCAGCGGCTGTAATCCTCAGAGCTCCGGCGCTGTGAGAGCATATGTGCGACCCTCTGTCCGCGTCCGCGACCGTCCTCACAACTGCGCTCCAACCAAGCGACCTGTAACTGATTCAATGTTACAGTCCACCCTCCTCCTCCTCCTGCTGCTGCTGCCCTCCTCCTCCTCCTCTTCTAACCCCCCTCCCTCCGAAAAATCATCTGGCTCAAAGTAAATAACTCTCAGGAAATGACACCCCCCCTCCCTTTTCAGCTCTGGACCCCTTTTTCAAAGTAAGAGCCTCGTTTTTTTGGACGAATACCCCGCCAAATGAGAGAAGGAATTCCGGGTTTCATGTTTAATTCAGATTAGAGAACTTTTTTTTGTTGGAGGACTAAAAAAGTTCTGGTTTATTTTTGAGTAACTTTTAATGCACCAAATAATGTCCCACCTTTGTGCACAGCCTCTTGTTTTGAGAGTTTGAACGTGAATAGTTCATTACTTACGTGCCTTTATGCCTTTCTTAGAGGATGCACTCAGCAGCTCTGTGAATGGACACATGCAACAGTCAAGATAGTGGAACAATGAAGCGCGTAACTCCTAGAGGGCGCTCCAACACCATCTTATCACAGACCACATCACTCCCCTCTCTTTGTCCCTCTTTCTCTATCACTGAGTCACTTCGATGCACACGCACGAACATCTCTACTCCCAACAATTAGTCAGATAAACTGCACCATCAGGGGCGTGATCCTCTCTTTTGCTTAAATCGCTGTTTACTGGCACACGTGCGTCAGCTGTTTACCGAGTCCTGAAACACAGCCGTTACTTTTTTGTTGTTGTTGTACCCCTGCCCCCTTTCGCCCCGGGGCTCTCCTGGCGGGCAGCAGAAGAGTAATGAGCCCCAATGAATCACCTTTCTGTGGGCACAGGAGAGGGGCATCAGACCGGTGTCTCTCTGTGGAGCAGCACAGCCCCGGGGCCCATGATACCCCCACTCCACCCCCTCCTCCTCCTCCTCTCTTAGCTCTGTGCAGCCGCTTGGCGCAATTACTTCCACATGTTGCAGAAAAGAACAGTGTCCTTGTTCTCCAAACAAAGGATCGTAACTTCGGAAGATCTTAAACCGGTCTGAGGTCCTCACTTCTGAGGGGGTTTATCTCTTTGCTTCAAGAAACTCTTACATGGAGGATTACAGGTACATAAGGGTAGTGGAGATCTGAAGGCTTTTAAGGTCTCGATTTAGGGGAACATTCAAACGTTTTCTTCGTGAATAAGTTAAACCTGATATAAAGGGAAATATATGTTTACAACTTTGACTTTGTGGACACATCTAGGCCTGTTTTACCCTTTTTTACGCAGATTACGATCATATAGATAGCATCCTTTTCTTTAAACATCAGCCAGGCCTCACTTGAAGCTCATTTTGTTGTGTTATTGTAATGAAGAACTTGTCAAACCTTCACAATCAACATTTCCTGAACATCATTACCTCTGCAGACACTCTCATTTCTCAACTCTTCACTGCGTCAGTACTTCAACTGTCCGCTGGGGGGCGTTTGGAAAGACAGTTTCACTATCAGTTTTATTTTATTATTATTTTTTTTTTCAGTTATACAATTAAATGCAACGTATAAAACAGAAATAGGTAAATACCGAGTCATAAATAAACACAATGAGCACGAAACTATGTTATTTTGATTCATAGTATGACCATGTTAGAACCTGATCAGAGAGCTAAAAGTTATAAGTTTGGAGTTCAAGTTTCAAGCTTTTCATTGTCAATTCCTGCAATGTGTGGGTAAAACACCGGAATCGAAAAATACGTTTCTCTCAGGCGCATGGTTCAAAAATACAGAGAGTAATCTCAAATAGACTAAAAGCACACTGAAGACTGAACTCCACCTTATAGTCTGTTTCTTTTTTAAACATTCCGGAATAAATTTGTAGTTCCACTTTACTAATCTAATTCAAGATTATTCTCAAAGTAATATCTGCGAGTACGAGGAGCATTCAAATCGATTTTTTTTAATGTTAGTCTCTAAACTGGGTAGTTTAAAGTGTGTAAAATTACATACATGATCCGCACAGCTCGTGCTGCTGTCTCGGGTGTGTTCATGGTGTAAAGTTGTGGTCACAGTCTGAAGGTCACTCCTCAGGCTGTCGGTGGCCTCAGGGCGGAGGTTCCTCGGGGAGCTGTCCAGCGTGCTGAAGTCTGCCGAGCCAATCCGAGGCCGTCCGTCCGTCTGTCCGTCTGTCTGTGGATCTTCTTAAAGGCCGCATAAGTAGCTCCTACACGCGAGAAGACGATCACGGTCATCACAGACGATGAGCATGAAAACGAATAAAGAATGAACACTCTTAGAGTGAGCCGTCCCTGCAGACTAATTTGATCTCGGTGACACTTTACAGTAAAGAGTCCAAGTGATTCATTGAAGTGGTGCTTACCTAATGCCTGAGTCATGACGCTTAATCCAGCTTCAATCATCAGGTTCTGTTGCACAATTTTAGCTCATGATCGTAGATGTGATTCATCAGAGCTGATGTGATTCATCAGAGCTGATTTTCAGACCGAATTCAAGATGAGATTTGACGTCAAAATAAACACAGCTTTGTTCACAGGGTGAGCCAAATTCAACACAAACCAAAGAGTCCTCACAGGAGCTTCAAGATTGAGAATGTAAACGTGAACTAATCGCATTTATTTACTAATGTGTATGTTTGTTTGTTTTGGGAAGAGCCCTTTGCCTTAACATGGAGAGAGAAAAGTCAACACACAGCATATCAACCGATATTGATAAAGATATCAATATTATTATCTCTCTCTTGTTCTAATTTTTCTCTCTTTTTCTTTTCTTTTTTACTATTTCCTAAATGAAGAGTGATGTTGTAGACATTCAAACTATAAAGGTACTGGTTACAAATATGTGGTAAACAAAAATGTTTTCAAAAAAACAGAACTTTAAAGAAAAAAAAAATTAAGTAGCCAACTTTTCCTGTGATGAGGGCTTTGCAAACTCATGGTGTTCAGTGTTTACATACAGATACATGAATATACAGACTTATAAGGTACAGGTGGATTTGGTAGCACTTTTATTGGCTCCATGCATCAAATCATTGACTTGAAGTTAGTTTTATTTTACCAAAGTGTAGCTGGTTTTCAGATCCTTTGATTATAAAGACATTTCTAAGAAAACAGAACAGGTGCTGCTCTGTGAAGGGAATAATATCTGTTGTTAACAGTAAATCTACTGCATGTTAGAAGCAAAACTTTGTTACTAAAGACCACGAATATATTTATGCACCTCTTTAAAACTTTCATACGCCTTGAGACATGAACTGACTTTGATTTTTTATTCTCTAAATGATCTTTAGATTTATTAAACAGAGAGATGAAGTGATGAGCGCCCCCTTACATTGACTATCAGGGACCAGACTTTAAAAATGGGGGTACTGAACTGGGGCTCTGACTGTAGCAGGGGTGGCATAAAGCACATGTTCAAAAACAAATCGATTGTACTTATTGAACCTTTTTTAGACCAATCATGTCTACATTAATTATTCATATTTTACTATCAAAAAGATCTAATATGATATATTTATTTTTTAAAGCACCAAAATGTGGTGGTGATATAACATCTTTTTTTAACTCTCTAAATATTTAAGAGCTCAAAATCAAATGTCACATTTAAAATACTAACATAATAACATGTGCAATATGATGATACAAAAAATAACTTCTAGCAGCTTAAAAAAGTTTGTTTAAACAAAAGTCTCACCTCTGACCTCACAGCCCATAATGGTAGGGTTCTGGGATGGCCACCCACCAGATGAGCCACAGCCACCTCTTGGTCCGCCCGAGGCCAGAACGTCACATTTTAAAAATGATCTGACCTAAGAGGGAAAAAATATATATATATATATATATATATATTAGAGAAAAAAAGTGTTCAACATGTAAAATAATCTGTTGATCAGTCAAACGAGAATGAAATCAAGTAATTATCCTATAGTCCCATCATCTGTGGACCTGACCTTATTTATGTGAAGACAGACCCACTTGACTTTGACTTTCCAAAGATCACTATTGTGATTAACTAAAAGCCCCCCACCCTCATACACAAAGAATTATCTCCCTAATACAACCACAACTTATTGGCTCTCCAAACAATCACAAAACCATCAGTCTTAATGCTCCGATTAGTCCAGTCTGACTTAATCTGTTTGTTCCTAAAGGCAGAATCTGACAGGAACAGGCCAACATGATCGTTTAAGGTGAACATTTATCCGTGCAAATGTCTCTCTCTCTAATGGGGACAAAGTGGACCAGAGGGCTTTATCTAGATTGTGCACAATAAACAAGATGTTTTCCAAATCTCTGAGCTCTCGGGTGCGTCTGTTTTCTCGGATGTTGATTTAATATCGGCCAAATTTCTTGGGGATAAACGTTCCTCTTCCTCTCTCCTCCACACTAACACTTCAGCTTCTTCAGACTCTATCTCTCCACATGAGACAGCAGCTGCAGCCGCCTGAAAAGCGCTCTTATTAATTGTCTTTTGTCATGCGTAATTGCCGCGTTTTCAATGGTGGCCTGACGTCTTTGGAGTGGACTCGTTTGTCTGTGCATTAGTACTTATATAGCCCCTTTAATCGGAGGTCTTTGTCTTGTGCAGCTCCTAAATATTTTGTTTAAAAGCAGCTTAATGAGAAGTTTTTGGAGGTGATAAATCTAACCTGGATGGATTGATGAACTCTCAGACTGATCTGCGCGCTGAGGTCACGTCCTGTGGGGGGAGTAACGGGGGGACTCAGTAAAAAACTGCAGTTTATTCCTTTGTTGATCTCTTTAAATGCTGCACTAGTCTTTCACACCTGCAAGGGGGACCTCTAATTCGATTAATAGGAACTTCAATATATATTCATTAGGTGGCTTTCCCCCGATAATATATGATCATCAGCGGGATGTGAAAGGGGGGCATTTATTCCGGCCCTGAAAGAGTCTGCGTGGGACCGAAACTTCACCTGCTTCCCCTCTCAATTAGGAATGTATCCCAAACTCTGACAGAAACGAGTTAAATTAGGCGTCAGCTAATTTCCAGTGGCCCCTCCCACGTAATCCCCCCTCAAAGTCTCTCCATTTGAGCGTGCCCCCTTTAATTCAGCACAAGTTGAAAGGTTCAAATAGTGCCTAATGAAACAGTGACTAAATCGTTCTGTGTCGCTCGGAGGAACCCTGTCGCTGTCTCTCAAAGCTCTCTGAGCGCACAGCCGTCGGGGGGTCTCCGGCTAAATGCAAGTCCCAAGGCAGGACAATCTAACCTGTCAAAGCCTTTGCCCACTTCTATATATTCTTGTTCTGTGGTTTCGAGCCACAGCAGCATAATCAACCAACGTGGGACCGAAAACGCAATTAAACTCGCTTTGGACGAGCAGAATCTTTTGAAAAGCGAACATTAATGGACTATTGGCTGCTCCCCGGGGGCGTTATCGGGTACCCTTTTGTGGTCAGATCTAAGGAGAAATTACAGCTACACTTTCATATAGCTCCCTCAGTTCAGTTTAAAGCGCTTATATCATGTAAATGGAGCTCTGCTACATAATGTTTGAATAAAAACTCACAGTGAACATTGGCTCCATTAAATAAGAAGCCAATAGGCTGCTAATGACAGCTTAATAATAACAACTGTCAACTGAGAGAAAGAAGTTGGAAAAGTTGTACCGTTAGATGTAGTGGACAATAACGGCGAGTAAATTTGATGCGCCAAATTAAAGTTTTTACGAAAATGGCAAGAAAGACAAAAAAATGAAATGCCATGTCAAAAATCTTTAGATGCTTATTAGTTGAGTTTTATTTTGTGTTTTGCCAAAAGCAAGATGAAAATATTTCATGCTCTCATCTTGTTTTCCAATGTTTTTATTTGTAAAGGGTACTGTGTAATTTTCTTTCTCATTTTCCCACTTTTTTTTTTTTTATAGCAGATGTTTCCTGCTTCATGGTGGTTTGATGATAACCTGTTATAATGCAGTTAACTCTTGTTATACCAGTCAATGCAGATTACTTATTTGACTGCATAAGACATGAAATGGGGGGAAAGATCATCATAGGGGCCCAATTTATCCAAAACACCTGAGTAAACACGGATTAAAAAACTTTTTTTTCCTTTCAAAAAGGCTCCAGTGTTCACATAAGTTTTTAATTTTTTTTAAATAATCAAATATTTAAATAATCACAGGAGTCAACACAGCATCCATTTCTAAGCTCAACTCGTCATTTTTATTACAATAAATACAGATATACATAGTTTACAGGTTGGTGCGTTCAGGTTCCTCACAGGCTGGTCGACACTGACAGTGATGCCATATAATTCAGAACATTAGGTGGGAAAAATCAACCAGACCTGAGAGTTCATGTGGGTGAGACCCTGGAAGGATCGACTATATATCAGCGGGAAAACATTTTGTCTACTAACATTTAAAGACGGTGGTCAACATGTTTTCACATCTTCAATTCGGTATAAAAATAGGAAACATGACAAAGAACGCTTTTGCTCAGATTTCATGCAGGGGATACTCGGGGCCAAGAGTCACATTATGCCGTGACCCAGAGTGGAACCAGGGCAGAATAAGTGCCAACAGGGGAGTGGGACTTTGGGAGCTTTTAGATGGGTGACACCTCCTTCTCCTCGGACGCAGAGGCCGGTGACAGAGACTCCTCATCCTCTGACCGGGAATAGTCCGTGTGGCTGGTTGTGCACTTGCACCCACTGTGCGCGCTCCTCTGTGTGGCTTTGCCCTCCTTCTTGTGCTTCACTCTGCGGTTTTGAAACCAGATTTTCACCTGTTTTTCTGACAGGTTCAAATACGTGGCGATTTCGATTCTTCTGAGTCTGGATAGATACATGTTCGTGGAAAATTCTCTTTCAAGTTCGAGCAGTTGGGTGCTTGTGAAAGCTGTGCGCATCCTCTTCCCATTTTGTATGTGACTGCTCTCAGTGGCGCCTGTAGGGGGAAAGGAGATCATTTTTATTGATCAGGTTAGATTACTACAAGTTTTAAACTGAAATAGAGACAGAAACGGCACCAATATCGTGCGTAATCACTGTGCGTAAAAGAAGAGCGCCGGGCTATGTTTGAATGATCTGGAAGCGCATGAAAGCTACCAAACAGGCGTCGATTAGAGCTCTGAGCTGAGAGTATCAAACAGGTGTCTTACCGATAGAGAGGCAGTGGTATCTCCTGGGATCTGTGACGCTGAAGGTGGGCGTGCAGACAGGTGTATGTCCCGGGTGCGCGAGCGCAGGAGACTGCTGATGCGTTATCCTCTGACAGTACTGCGCCTCTGCTCCTGGAAACTGACTCTTCAGCATGGGGATGCCGCTCCGGGACGAGTGGATGTGAGACGTGACGCAGAGCGGACACACGCAGAAAGTCCCGTTTTTCCTGGATGGACAAACCGGCGCGGTGACGGTCATCACGCTGGGAGAGTGCATGCTGATGGGGATGAGGAAGTCTTGTCCTGGGTGCTCGGGCGGTCCGGGCCGCACCGTGTCCTTGATTATTAAAGAATCGACGTAGAAAGACCTGGACATGGCTGCTCCGCTGGTCAGTTATCGCTCCCTGAACAAGATGATCGCTGATTCTCATCTGAGCCCCTCGGGACTCCCAAAGGTGCTTATGTTTGATGCTTCAACAAAAGGGACCCCGAAGAGGGTTGGCCCTGCAGCGTCACCCACGTGCGCACCCGGCTCCAGGGGTTTATACTGTCAACGACCCAAACCACGTGATTCCTCAGTGGGCCTCCAATCACAACTTGAAGATTTACTCTTTTATCCCCGATTTTTGAAAAGTCTTGGACCCCAGAATATCAAAATCTATGTCCTTCTATGCAGATTTTAAATTAAGATTACTCAAGGTCCAGAATCACTGTGGCAAAATATGAAGATTTTTTCCCCTCTCAGCCACACCGTTAAGCAGTATAGAAAACAAAATAATAAAACTCCAGAAAAAACAGGCACAAACACGCTGCCAGACTCTATTTACAGTTCTGATCCTGGATTTATAGGATCGAAGCAAGATAATTAGTCTGAAACTATAATTTATAATCAGAAAATACCTGATTTCTGTGTACAAAGACTTACATTTTTAAACATGCAGCAATAAAAAAGGTTGTTAGACCAACTCATGTAAAATTATGTAAAAGTAAGTTTTATTTTCCAGACCTTTAATTTAAACTTCATTCCTTTTTATAGTCCAAGACATATTCATTTGGTCTGACTACCACGTTGAATATTTCACTTATATTTTGACAGATTTGTTTTTCTTTTTTTGCACTGATATATGTTGACTATATAAAAATATCCACTGCATTATTATTGTATTCCTCCACTCAAAATGGCAGAATGATAAAGTTGCATATGAAGCATATGACCCATATCCAGACTAATGTTTACTCCATGCTTAGTTTATTATTATTTTTTTTGTTGTCCTAAATGCGATTTAAAGAATTGTGCACGCGACCATGAGCACTAATTGCCTCGCGCAGGCTGCTCATGCTCCTCTGAATCCGGTTGGTCCGCGTTTCACTACCAGCAATTAAAGAATTATGAAGCGATAGCGAGTCTGGGCTGCGGGTTATTCGATGGCGATTAGGATTCAATTAGAAAGTGTTTATAATGGTCGGTCTGTGCGGGGGTAAACAGGCAGCTATTTCAGAAATGCGCTAATCCCTCATCTTGTGACGATAATTAGCGAGTTTGATCCGCAGGCGGGTCACCGGTGGGTTTAGCTCTTGCTTTCATCTGCCAAGTAACGCCTCGGACGCTCAGACAGAGGCGAGTCGAGCCGGCAGACCAGGTCCAGCACCGACCTGCGCTGGTTTATATGCTGACCTCAGACAGGAACACAAGTACAACAGGCCTCTTTTTGTTTCTCATTTTCTCAAAACATCCTCTTTGGGGGAGCAAGTGCGCAAACTGGAGCGCGTATTGGGCTGTGAGTTAAAGAAGCAGCCTTTAAAAGAATTAGAAAGTCTTTAAAACCCGGGCAGAATAAAACAAACATGTCTGACACTCAGACAGTAATTGCTCTAATAAAGTGAATCCAGCGTTTGACAGGCAGGACGCACAGTGTTATGGTACAGATAACAGTCTGAAACGAGAGAGAGAGAGAGAGAGAGAGAGAGAGAGAGAGAGAGAGAGAGAGAGAGAGAGAGAGAGAGAGAGAGCAAACCAAGCGGAATGATGCGTGGCGCGCGCCCTCATCACACCATGCGAGCTCTAATATTATTTTTCCATAATTCTGCACGATAAAATTTCATTGTCTATTAAGTAATCCCACAAATGAGATCCTTTATGAGGCTATAATGAGGCCTAATTGCCAGGACTAGTGGAGCCACGTGGAAGGATTTAGGAAGCATTAAGCCGTCGGGTACTGAGCACAGGCTGTTACCTAGCCATTACTTTCATAATTCAAGGAGAAAATTAGTCCATTTAAGGGAAAAATCCTTTGATTCCATTTATTCTGCTCGGGGTGACAGGGCTGCAGTTTTTTTGTCCGCTTGGGTTAAGAAGCCGGTGCAACAAATGGGGCTAATATCACTCACTGTTTAAATGCTAGAATCTCAGAAATGTGTAAAGCTCCCAGGGCCCCACCTCTTCTTTCTCTCCATTGCCTTTTACTTTCTAGTGCAGCACCATTCACCCCTCTTTCACATCATGATGGGCAATTAATCACAGGGCTATTCAATAACAGGAAAATTCAATTTAAATAGAGGATTAAAAGGAGTTTTTATCCCCAGAGGTGGGAAAGTCTGAGCTAATTCTCTGGAGAAGAAAACAACATTTCTAGTATTAGTGTTAGAGTGTGCAAGTGCATCACATAGAAGGTGTGTGCATTGATTTGTGTGTGTGTGTGTGTGAGAGAGAGTACATGCAGCTCCGCCCAGTAGTAAAAACACACAAACATGTAAAAGTGCTCTGCTGAAGTTCCCCCCTCTCATTCAGGGTGCATCCCATGCCGTATTATACCGTGAAGAAGTCCATTAATGTTTTGTTGAACAAGCATCATTAACTTGTATCAACGCCTTTTTACAAACCTCGCATTGTTGTGCAGGGCCAGTCTGCAGCCCATCTTGGCCAATACAGTGGATGATTTGGTCCTTTATTAGTTACCAGGCAACAGATCCTGAATACCAAAAGTGAAAGGAAACACTCTGCTCCTGCATATAGATCTGAATGGCGATGGGGGGAAAATGAACAATGATCCTGTGGCCAACATAATGCCACGCAATGACTTTTCATCAACAATTATCTGCTTGAAGTGAATAGCAGCTGCAGTGGCTACTCTCCATCTCAGGCCCTGCACAGAAAAGAGGAGAAAGGCGCTGAATAGCATCCTGCAGGAGTTTCAGAGGCTGCATGGTCTCCATGAATGCGGAATCTAATTTATATCTCAGTGAATAATTAGGTTTCTATGCAAAAATGAGTTGGAAATAATTGCAGTTTAAAGCACCGTGACAACTTAGCCAGATAAACAAAGAAAACAGTCCCTTTTAATGTGTCGCACCAGGAGTTTATGAGCTTTTACACTTCAGAGGACAAGATTAATAGGCTAACGTTAACATATCAGTGCTAAAGAAGGATCAGAGAGTGTGACATGTCAATATAATGCAGTCATGGTCTGTGCTTAGTTATGAAGCAAAAAAAACCACAATGTTGTGGCTGTAAAGTCTTTGGTAAGGTCAAAAAAAGAGATTAATTAAAACTAGGAGAGGATGTTGGTTTTGCAGACATCACCATTAAAACAACATGTGTCAGTCTGCAGGAAAAATGCTAATGAGAACAGGACATGTGCATGGTGTGACTCTATAGATACAGTTAAGAAAACTCCTTTTTAAAGTTATTAAAGTATGTGAAAAATGATACAGCAACAAATTTCAAGCTGGTAAGATGCACTGCACTGTGCATGTGCAGTGCTACAGTATCCAAGTAGTCGGATTGATTAGTCTTTGCAAATTAAAATACAGAACTCCTAAACTTTTCACTGTTAAAACTTGTTTAAAAAGACAAGGCCAAGAACAACTGCCACTGATGAAATCACTGTGTTTTAAGATCTGAGTGGAGGTTAAACTTCCCACTGCACTTCTGGAGGTCTGCTGTGTTTGCAGCCAGAGGCTCAGCAGGTGTGTTCATACATACATATAAATTCATACACTTAACTAAACGGAAAAAAAAACGAAACAGTAATGTACTAAAATGGCTAAAATTTGAGGCTAAACTCATTTTGAGTAATTTTCATCATTGTGGTTTAAATAAGTTAAATAAGTTTAGAGTTGTACATTTGGGTCAGCATTTCCAAGATGGCCGCACATTGTGCTAAATTTTACTTAAAATTCTTGTGAGGAAGTTGTGGTTTGTGTTGATTTTGGCACCTCCTGGTCAAAGTTGTACCGCTACTTACTTTGGTTATTCTGTCTGCACATGTGTGTAATCCTGAAAGGCCTCTGCTTTCTTTAAATGGATATTCTGGCGTAAAATTAAGTTATGGTAAAACACACCGTAACACAGAGCTAGACACCTCCTCAAGAGATGACTGCTGCTGACTGCTTGCTTCTCTAGTTATATCAAATTTAGTAATGACTGCACAATAGCAATACACAGCGGTCTATGACTCCAAACCTCAACCAAAAAGCCACTCTTAACGCCACAAATAATGCTCAGAACAGCACCTAACTTCATCAACAGTACATATAGGGTCCCAGCCACAGCACTAGCCACCAAACATCTTTTTAGCTTTGCCTAATTTCTTTATCAAAGAGACTAAACACAACTCATCTACGCTCATCCAGCAGCCGCTCGTTTGTAGAGAGACCTCAGGCCAGTCCATTACGGACTACAGTGGGGTGACACAGCTCAAGGAAGAACATTTATGATCATTTCTTCATGGAAATGCAATCAGACCGAGACATTAAGGCAGAGGAACTACTGCGTTTGCAGTGCAAAATGATAATTATGATGATTATTACTTCAACGGTCATTCTAGTCACTGGCGGTGTACTCAGAAACTGTAATAAGTTACTTTTTGCTCATTAATCATTTAAAGAGGAATAAAACAACTTAATTTTTACTCTTTGTTCCTTTACTTTTTTCTGCCCAAAAAGTGATCAACAACTTGTTTTGTCCTTTTGAAAGTAATTCCACTTTATATGAACAATAATTAACCTTGCAGGAGTAAACAATCAGTGTTTATATACTGGTACATAAACGGAACAAAAATTCAGAAAGGAAACAGCCTCTCACACTGATTTTTCAGGTAAAGTGTTTTTCTTGCATGAAAGCAGCAACAAGTTTTGATTGTTTGACAAAACGTCAAATGTTGTAAAACACCACAGTTTTATGCTAATTGTGACGGAGCACCATTAAACGCCCCGTCATTCCCGAGTGGCGCGGGTCTCTCTCGCGGGGCCTGAGAGTGCCGGTGCCGGAAGTGCGCATGGAGCGCACTCGTTCCTCGCGGGGCCAAGCAAACTGTTTAACTGTTTCCCCGCACCTGTGTCCCGCAGTCCTGCACTCCCACCAACCGTTACCCTTTTTATCTGGACTCTTTTCTCCTCGCTGTAAGCGTTTGACGATGCACACTCAATAACTACACGCCACACACACACACACCCACAAACACCCACTTACCTGCTGCCACTTTCCAAGTCAAACCGGGGTACTTCCTGATACGTCACTAAAAGCGTAAGGTGGCGCGCTCATGTGACCGCCGGACCATA